GCTACATGAAGTTTTAGGCAAATAGGGTCTTTTAAACTATAGTCCTCAGAAGGAAAAAAAGCAGGTTCATTGGAAAGGGATCCTGACATGAAGCGAGCAAAAAGGAAGAAAGAATAAACAGAAGAATGACCAAACGGTCAAAGTGTAACTAGAATATTAAAAAGGAAGATTTTAACCACATACAATTAAGAAGCAAAGAACAGGGGCAAAACTAGGAAACAAAAAAGGCAAGAAAAATAGACAGTGGCATTGAAAAAGAAAAAAAAAAGAGTCCAATAAATGTCACCGTCCCCTTACAATTCTAATGCGGGATTTAATGAGTTTCCAGAAGCCGATGAAGCAGGGACAACATTGTGTACCACACTGTGGCTGGGAGTTAACTCTCCTAGCCAGGAGGGACTGAGGCTGTGTGTCTGGTTGTGAAGATAAGAGCCATTCAAAACATTTATTTTAGAAAAGAAAGTCTGACACAAGGGCAAGCAGCCAATTACAATCTGGAAAGCTGTGGCTATGGAAAATTTTACAATTTCTTTCAACATAAGTACCTAATTACACAGGCCCCATTCCAGAACTAACAGGAACACTTCTCAAGCAATCAAGTCATACACTCCAATGTTCACATCTCTCCAAAGTCACTGTGTTTCCCCTGGAAGATGGGAGGGATCAGAGATAGCTACCCAAACTAACACCTTGAATGACCTAAGGCAGAGCCAAGAGGGAAGTTAGAGCAGCAGCAATTTATATGATAGACTTACACTTCTTATTTTGAGTGGAGATCGAAGCCTCTGGTCTCCCAGCAAAAGGCTGTAACAGTTTGAAGCAAAAAAGACAACCTTCCCCTCTAGGAAAGTGGAAGTGAGAAATACAGACATATTGGGAAAATGAAAAGGAAATCACAGCGCCCTCCCCGCCTCAAAAAAAAAAAAAAAAAAAACAACCCTGCTGTCACATGTTGGCTATTATCAAAAGACTATTGTGTGACTAATTCGGAGCTGTGGAGTCAGCCAGTTATGTGTCAAATATTATTTAAAACACCAACCGATTTTATAAACAGGTGATGGTTATGTCTTTGAAGAAATCAAGGCAGCTGCAAAAGAATTTAATAATAAAGTTTACAAGTTACTAAATTCTGCCTGGATCTTCACTGGCATTTGCAGGAGAGCATGAAGTATATTTATTTGCAAAACATTCTTAAAGAGTGAGCAGATGGAGAGAAGGTTCGGGAGCGGAGTCCAGCACATTTCCTGGTGTAGCGTGTACTCAATGAATTTATCTACTGGAGAAGCAGAACCCAGTGCCTACTATGAATGTGCCATGCACAATGGAAGAAATTGGGGTTAACAAACACACGATAAGACCACTGCCAGGGTGAGCCTTGAAAAATGCAAATGAGACCCTAAAATATGTTCCTTTTGTCATTAGAATAAAATTTTAAATTTTTCACCATGGTCTGAAGACCCTGAGTCACACTCTTGGAGATTGCCTGCTGTTTCCTGACTTCTGTGAGCTAGCTTCTTCCCCAAGGTCTTCATGTGGCTGGGATCTTCTGGAGTACAACTAGCCACCCCCTCTGAAGCAGCTCTTTCCACCCAGCCCCAGCCTAGTTCAGTCCTTTGTCCTCACAAGTTTACAGAATGCAAAGTCTTACCTTGTTTACTATGTGTTTATGCCTGTCACCCACTAGCAGGTAAGCTCCATGCGAACAGGGTCCTTTTTCTTTTCTTTTCTTTTTTTTGAGACAGAGTCTCATTCTGTTGTCCAGGCTAGAGTGCCATGGCCTCAGCCTAGCTCACAGCAACCTCAAAACTCCAGGGCTCAAGCAATCCTCCTGCCTCAGCCTCCCAAATAGCTGGGACTACAGGCATGCGCCACCATGCCTGGCTAATTTTTTTTTCTATGTATTTTTAGTTGGCCAATTAATTTCTTTCTATTTTTAGTGGAGATGGGGTCTTGCTCAGGCTGGCTTCGAACTCCTGACCTTGAGCTATCCTCCCATCTCGGAACCCCAGAGTGCTAGGATTACAGGCGTGAGCCACAGCACCCAGCCTGGGTCCTTTTTCTCATTCAACTGCTCCTGCCCCAGCGCCCAGGCATTCAGCAACTGCTAAAAATTTGCTAAGTGAATGAAGATTCCGCCCTTAGTAAACGGTTGTTGAATGAATGAATGAGCTGTGGGCACTTTTACCTAGGCAACTTATCAGTGACACAAATATTGGAGAAACAGAAAGATACTATCAGACCAGTAAAGTCTCAGACAATTATCCTAAGCCAGCTGTCTTTTCTTCAGAGACTGCTGAGAATGAACGGTGGCCGCTAAAGTGATAACCAGTGATATGAGCTATCCTGGGACAGATTTATAACTTTGCCCTGGAAGTGGAGGAGAGGTTTGCAGACTGCTGCAGCCAAGTCTAACTGAGGTAATGACTGGAACAAATGAACACACACCAAAAAAAGCAAACTGACAGAATAAATAGCAAGAGCATTGAATAGACTGAAACCTTAAAGTACAAAACTCCTCATCTTTCACAAAAAAGAATTCAAGTTAATTTTTAAAAAATACATTGATATAAACACATAAGCAAAGAATTAAGAGAATTTGTAGAAAATCTGAGATAATCCCTGGCATGTTTTTTTAAATTGAGAAATAATTCACATACCATAAAATCCACCCTTTTAAAATGCACAATTCACAGTGGTTTTCAGTGTTTTCACAAAGTTGTGCAATCATCATCACTAATTCTAGAACATTATCACGCCAAAAAGAAACACCGTACCCATTAGCAGTCACTACCAAACCCCTCCCCCATCCTGGTCCCTGACAACCATTAATCTTCTTTCGGTATGGATTTGCCTATTCTTGACATTTCTTATAAATGAAATCATATGTGACCTTTCATATCTGGCTTCTTTCACTTAGCACAATGTTTTCAAGGTTTATCCATGTGGTGGCATGGATCAGTATTTCACTCTTTGTTATGGCTGAATAATATTCCATTCCATGGATATATCACATTTTGTTTATCTATTGATTCATCAGTTGATGGGCACTTGGGTTGTGTCCACTCTTGGTCTATTATAAATAATGCTACTATGACGTTTCGTGTACAAATTTTGTGTGGACATATGGTTTGAATTCTTTTGGGTATATACCTAGCAGTAAAATTTCTGGTCATGTGATCCTGGTAGGTTTTTAATGGAGAAGCTGCCTTCTAAATAGATGTAGTTAGAGGGAAACTAATTTCAATTCACATATGAAGCAAGAAGCAAACAAAAAACAAAAATTAAGTAGTGAGAAAGGATAACACTAAAGTCAATATGTTGAACCCCTTCTCTGTGCCATGTCCCTTACTAGAAAATTTGTACCTAACATTTAATCCTCATCCTCACAATAGTCCTATAGTGTTATCCTTTTTTTTCTTTTCTTTTTTTTTTTTTTTTTTTTGAGACAGAGTCTCACTCTGTTGCCCAGGCTAGAGTGAGTGCCATGGTATCAGCCTAGCTCACAGCAACCTCAAACTCCTGGGCTCAAGCGATCCTTCTGCCTCAGCCTCCCGAGTAGCTGGGACTACAGGCATGCGCCACCATGCCCGGCTAATTTTTTATATATATATATCAGTTGGCCAATTAATTTCTTTCTATTTATAGTAGAGACGGGGTCTCGCTCTTGCTCAGGCTGGTTTTGAACTCCTGACCTTGAGCAATCCGCCCGCCTCGGCCTCCCAAGAGCTAGGATTACAGGCGTGAGCCACAGCGCCCGGCCCTATAGTGTTATCCTAATCATCCCTCTTCTACAATAGAAGAAACGGTTCAGACTCCAGGATGTTAGGCTGCCCAAGATCACACTCGGGGAGAGCAGCGGCCAGCTCAGAGAGGGCAGGAGAGCAAAGCAAGCTGCTGGAACATTCGTAATAAACATCTATGGTCTAAATTTTCCTTTCAAAGGGGCTCCCATCAAATTAAAAAACAAACATTAAACGATATTCTGTTTTCAGAAAATACACAGAGAAGCCAATTTGGAGAGGGGAAAATCCAACTTGAACAAAGGGACTTTATTCTGTGGGCAAATGAGGAGCTCTTCAGGATCCGTGAGCAGGGCCGTGCGTGCCGGCTCTCTGGCAGCAGAGCTAGGGTGAACTGAAGGTGAGCGGAGACCGGGGACAAGGTGGCCAGTTAGGAGGCTTTCAGAATAGACTGGGGAAAGAAATATGGCCAGCGAAGTGGAGGAGCGGGGGTGGGTAGAAAGGTCAAAGAGACACAAGCAAAGTGTCTCTCCCGTGAGTGAGAGGTGGGGGCTGCGGCACAGGAGCCCCACGGTGCTCGAGAGGGAGGGAAGAGCCATGCCGCATGTCACTGATGGACAATGAGCCACTGACAGAGGGCTCTCACTTTCCTGTATAATTTGCCTCTTTCCAAGGGCAACTGTAAGTTGCTAGGCTTCTTGTGAGAGGCCTTAACTGCTTCAGCATTTTATGAACTTCTCAAATTCCTGAGAGAGTCAATAGAGACAAATAATGTCATTCAAAAGCATGTGCTGAGCAGCTCCCTGATGTCTCCCCACAGAGCCTGGTGTAGTGAATGCCCTGCACACAATGGATGCTAAGTGTGCACTGATTGACAGAAGAAATTATATCCCCATTACAACCACACAGCTGTGTTTGCAATTCTGCTGATTCAATATTTCCCATCAGAAACAGCTTTTGGTCTTTCAATATTGCAACTGGTTTACCCTCATGCACATAAAGGCACAAAGTATATGTAGTTGTCTTCTGTGATCAAAGAGAATGCAGTCTGTGTAGCAATCTGAGGCACATCAACAATGACTAAGAGAGCAATACTTTCCTCTCCTTGATTCTCAGACTTGTGGGGAAATTAAATCTGGCAATCAAAGTGAATAGAAGCTAGGCTGGCTCTTCCAGTTATAGGATCCCAAAAAAAAAGGCCAAAGGGTACAGGACATATTGGAAACTTAAGAGCAAAAAGACTCATTGCCCAGGTGTGACCAACTAGACCTGTCTGTCCAGCGCAGTAGCCACCATGGCATGTGCTCAACAGCCATCTGCTGAACGGGTGTGTATGTGCGCGCTCACACACAGCCTTACCCTTTTCACTTTATTTTTGGTGAAAAATTTGTCACTGGACAGCACCAGTCTGCTGAAAGGTGTTTGGGTTTGTTTGGGGTCTGTTTCCTATGTTTTTTTTAATTTCAGAGTCATTATGGGGGTGTTTGGGTTTTATACACATACGCACACACGGGCTGGAGTAAGTCAAGATGAATGAGTCATCTAACACTTTCTGAGAACTCTATATTAACAAATTACTTGTAACAAGAGTCCAAAGCATAATGCTGCCAAGTGTGGGCTTCTCTAAACTGACTATGTATCTCGGAACCAACCACGAGGAGTGGCAGGGAAAAAGAAAAAAAAAACCAAACTACCCCTTTGCTTTTCAATAGCACCAGAGTGCCCTCTAGTGGTAAAATATAGTATGGGTGTAGTCACAATTTTTATTCAAAAAACAAGTGACTTTATGCTTCTAGCAATGCATAAAACATTACTACCTATAACTACTCTGAGAATCAGTGTGAACATGCACCTACCTAGTTAAATATAAAATATGAAAATCTGCATTGCTAAAAAGATAATTAAGAATTATTTGTCACAGGACTATCCAGTTAAGGTCATCCAAATACCTAGGAAATGGTGAAATACATGAAAGGTGCTCTTGAGATTTAATATTCTATATAGTTTCTCTTTATCTTCTAGCTAAAAAAAAAAAACTACTTTCAAGTTCCAGGTATCATACAGTTTATTTCTTCCTTTGTCTTAAATGCAACAATAACCTTTGTTGTCTCCAGCTTTTTTCACTTTCATCTTAACATCTTTGTTTCCTCATATTCTTTGAGAATGAGAACTGTGTTTTAGTTGTTCTTTTACACTAGGTAAGCAGTGATAAATCACATCCAGATGTCCAGGGTGGGTTGTCTCAATGAAACATAAAAATCTGACCTTGATCATTTTAGGCAGTTTTTACAAATTTCAGCTTGATATTCTATGGCCTTGCAAGGGTAAAGGACACCGTCATTGATCAGTTCCTGTTAAGGCAGATGCTTACAAACCGTGTAAGTCAGTGCCCCAGTCTGGAGGTTCAGAGGCAGAATCTTTACAAGGCAGTCACACTGTAATAGTAGCCACCAGCATCTGACTCTCCTGAGTGTTTGTTAAAAATGTAGATTGTTTCTCGCATCTACTCAAGACTATAAACCTCATCTCTGTAGAGTCTGGTAATGAATCTGCATTTTCATTAAATTCCCTACGTAGGAACCCCTGTGGGTAATAGCCAATTTCAATATTAAGCAACTACCAGGAAGCAACTCCCCCTTTTATTTTTTTTTCAATTTCAGAATATTATGGGAATAAAGATGTTTTGCTTACAAGGATTGCTTTTGTACTGCTTGAGTCAAAGTTATAGGTGTGCCCATCATCCAAATAGTGTACATCGTGCCTGTTAGGTATGAATTCACCCATCCCCTCCACCCTCTTTCTACCTGCTTGTTTACTTCCATCTCAGATACGAGTGCTGATTGGTTAGTTTCAATTTAATAGTGAATACATGTGCTTGTTTTTCCATTTTTGCAATACTTCATTCCAGTTCCACCCAAATTGTTAGAAAAGGTATTAATTCTTTTTTTTTATGGCTGAGTAGAACTCCATGGCATACATGTACCACATTAATCCACTCATCCATTGATGGACACTTGGGTTGATTCCATGTCTTTTCAATTATGAATTGTACTGCAAGTGTCTTTTTGATTAAATGACTTTTTTCCCTTTGGGTAAATACCCAGTAGTGGGATTGCTGGATCAAATGGTAGATCTTTTAGTTCTTTGAGGAATCTCCATACTATTTTCCATAGAGGTTGTACTAGTTTGCAGTCCCACCAACAGGGGATCATTTTCTCTGCATTCACACCAGCATCTGTTGTTTTTTGACTTTTTAATAATGGCCATTCTCAATGGGGTTAGGTTATATCTCATTGTGGTTTTGATTTGCATTTCCCTGATCCCCCTTGTGTTTGTTGACTGCCTCTGCTTTGTTTTATTTATTTATTTATTTTTTTAAAGAAACAAGGTCTCCCTCTGTCACACAGGTTGGAATACAGTATCCAGGACTACAAGAGTATACTACCACTCCCAGCTAGTTTTTTCTATATTTATTTATTTATTTATTTTTTTGAGACAGAGTCTCGCTTTGTTGCCCAGGCTAGAGTGAGTGCCGTGGTGTCAGCCTAGCTCACAGCCACCTCAAACTCCTGGGCTCAAGCGATCCTCCAGCCTCAGCCTCCCGAGTAGCTGGGACTACAGGCATGCACCACCATGCCCGGCTAATTTTTTGTATATATATTAGTTGGCCAATTAATTTCTTTCTATTTATAGTAGAGACGGGGTCTCGCTCTTGCTCAGGCTAGTTTCGAACTCCTGACCTCGAGCAATCCGCCCGCCTCGGCCTCCCAGAGAGCTAGGATTACAGGCGTGAGCCACCGCGCCCGGCCCTCTGCTTTGTTTTAAAGCTTTTCTTCTTCTTGCATTATCTTGTCCACTCCTGGTGTGACGATGTTGTCTTGTTTCTCTTCAGTTTTATTTTCTTCTGCAGAGCTAAACAATCTGGGGAGGTAATCTCTTACTGTTCAGGACTTCTACGATTCTACTCTGTTCCCCTTTTCTCTCACAAATCATGGGGCTCATATCTAAAATTATTTTAAGAGTAAAAATCCACTGGTGAATCAAATGGTTCCAATGTGCAATATTCCTTTTTTAGGGAGGATTACATCCATACGTTAAAGGAATCTAATGCTATCAATGCTAGGAAAATAAAGACCATGAATAAATTTACATTATTGAAATGGGTGAACTTCAATATAGAGGACAAGTACTAAATTGGCTATATTTCCTCTAAAATGTAATACTGTTATAGACCTTCTACGACAAACCATCTTTTATTGATGTTAACAGAAGACAATAATATTTTTTCTAAAAGCAGGCAAGGTTTTCATTATAAGCTGTTCTGTAATATTTACATATGTGGTTTTTAACCTTGTACATATGTTACTTTGATTTCTTTTTAGATTAAAAAGATAGTTGAGAATGAAGGAGAAAAACCTCATTACTAGATCAATTTCTTATATTTTATTAGCAACGCTTGCAACTAATTTTGAAGCAAGAGCAAATAAAAGTTCACATTTGCTGAGTATTTATGTACAAAGTATTACTTTAAAGGTACTACGTGATATGCACTGGTTCAGAAAGCTGTGTGGAGTATGTTCCACAAAGAGTTTCTGCTTAAGAGCAACTTCAGCAGGGCAGTAGAAGAGGTAGAAAATCTCCTAGGGTGAGCAACTCAGGCTACTGATATTAGCATTAAACAACTAGACACATCATCACCCATCACTGATGAAATATTCTGGACTCCTGGGTTCCTACCAAATACCAACACAATTTAATACCTGATTATCCATAGCTAGTACCTTTTCTATATTATTGTCTATCTTAGACCAAGGTTAAGGAATGTGTTAGGCTCACTCATACAGTGCCTAGTGGAAGTATGATACCCAGCAGTCAGAAACCTTAGGTTCACATCCTGATTCAAAATTTGTGATTTAACATTAGAAATCACTTAAATTCTTTGACCCTATATCTCCACATATGAAAAATGGGACTGCCTGTCTTCCCATCACGAACACCACAGGGAGGAGCTGAGGTGACAGATGTGAATGGTGTCTAAAGGATACTCAATGTTTAATGAATCTCAGTGTAATCTGAGCTGTATCCTAGTGGAGAACCAGCAGACTCCTGAGCGAAGCAAGGGACAGGAGCAGTCCTTTCCCAGGGACGGTACCCGCCATTAACAATGTAGACAACCCAACACAGACTGAAGCTCAGTGATTCTCAAACTGCTTTAATGTTATGTTATAGACACCGACTCTATTACTCACCTCCTACATTCTCCCACACAATTACTTCCTTCTAACCTTCAGATACAATGATGTGTATCTTAAATTTACCAAAGGAAACACAGTGAAAAAGGAGCTACATGTACTCCTCAAGGATTGTAAGTACATGTACCAACTTCTCACCGGGTACTCTAAGCACTTTCTGTGCAAATGAGGTCTCATTTTCTCAGCACCCAGCCCTAACGAGGTGGGCACTAATTACGCACAATCTACAGGGAGGGACTGGTATGCAGAGATCACTCTGAGCCCAGACCACAGAGCCCATGAGTAGTAGAGCTGGGGTCTGGCTCCAGAGCCACATGCTCAGCCACTCTGCGGTACTGCAGCCCTGATAGAAAGTATAGTTAAAGTCCCACAGTTTCAAACATATGCTGGGATTTTGTTGTTCTTGTTGTTAAGAGACAGGGTCTCTATGTTGCCCAGGCTGGAGTGCAGTGGCTACTCACTGGCATGATCATAGCAAACTACAGCCTCCAACTCCTGGACTCAAGCAATCCTCCCACCTCAGCCTCCCAAGTAGCGGGGACTACAGGAGCACATCATGGCACCCAGCTGTGCTGGGATTTTAAATTTTCAATTATTGATAGTCAAAGCATACCCCCCTATGAGAGAGAGAGATTATTCTCAATTTATAGATACTGAGACTCAAAGGACACGCAAAAAGACACAGAACCAGAATTTTCTGATATCAAAACCAAAAATTTTTACAGCTTCCTCTTGTCCAAAGAAAAACTGAAAATAAACTCACATTCCAAGCATGTGTTGAATTTAGAATTCTGACAGATAACTGGGCAGTATGTACCCAAATTTTAAATATATATGCATATATTTTTATACATGACCCTGCAAATTCCACTTCTAGGATCTCTCTTACAGAAGTATTAATACAAGTATACAAAAAAGAACTGTGCACGGATGCTTACTGCTGCAGTGTTTAAGAGTAAAACACAACCTGAATATCCCTCCATTCATCTATAGTGCAGATGGCAGACACATGATGGAACACCATGGAGCTGGTTAAAAGAATGAGATGGCTCCAGCTACACTGTAAAGATAGCATGGATATACTATTAAGCAAAAAAGCAAGTGCCAGAATGTGTAATATGATCCTATTTTTATTAAACTGTGTGTGTATGTGTGAGAGAGAGAGATGTTGTAGAGATATAGAAAAGGGCCTGGAAGAATACATAAGTATCCCTTGGGAGGTAGAAATTGGGGTGATGTGGGGGGTGAGTGACTCTCGAGTTCCACTTTGTAGATGTTTGTATTTGTTTGAAATTGATAATTATTTAAGAAATAACAATATACAATTTTGAAATAAAAAGAATTTTGGAGGCTAATTTTTTAAAGGGAATAGAATAATAATGACATGCCCCTAAAACAAAATGTAAACTTCTTCCTTCCATTTGCAAACCTGAGAGTACATAGTAAGGGCAGCATTGCTACAAATTCCTCTTTCAAAAGCTCATTCAGGACACTAAGTCATTCATTTCAGAGGTCTTTTTTTTCTTTTTGAGACAGGGTCTTGCTCTGTTGTACAGGCTAAAGTGCAGTGGTGTCATCCTATCTCACTGCAACCTCAAACTCCTGGGCTCAAGCGATCCTCCTGCCTCAGCCTCTCAAGTAGCTGGGACTATAGGTGCATATGCCAAACACACTCAGCTAACTTATCTATTTTTTGTAGAGATGGGGTCTCTAACTCCTGGCCTGAAACAAGCCTCTCACCTCAGCCTCCCAAAGTGCTAGGATTATAGGCATGCCAGCCTCATTTCATAAATTTTAAAGGCTAGCAATACCTCTATTTTCAGACTATGTCATAAATGACATAAACATCAAAATGAAGGCTTCTATAATTATAGATCTTAAAAAGTAAGCATGTAAAATAAAGACTTAGACAAAACAAATGACTAAAGCTGCATAGTTTTGCTACACTTTATTCAAAACTGGCTCTACTTCTCCATTATTTGAGAAAACTAAAAGCCTACTGTCCAAATGTAAATATTCATCATGTTGAAAAATAATCTTCAAATTTGTGCTCTGACCCAAATTTGGCACAATTAAATCATAGGAAAGTCAGATGACACAAACGGTCACACCTCAGCATATAACAAAATCCTGAAAGTAGCATAGCAGTTAGCTATGACGTCATTTATTAAACTCTCAAACTGAATCGTAATCTTACTTACACACACCACAATACACCTTTACACAGGTAATTTTATTCTTCCTGTGGGTGTCAACAGTGCTCATAGATTGTAATTTGAAACATTCATACCTGAATATTGTCACATTTCTTTACATCACAATTCAATAACTATTGAACAGTTATGTCTACTAAATACAGTGAACAAAATGGTATAAATGTTTACACCATTCCCTTGTAAACAAGGTTTTTATGCACAATAGTAACAAATGGAATTAATGCATACCACGATATCAATAAGGAAAAGACCTTCTCTTTAAATAAACTATTCTGTTTATAAATAAACTCTGATTTTTTAGTACACATTTACAGACCTGATCAATAAAAAGAAACAATATATATATATTTTCCTTTAAAAAGAAAATGTTGGACCACTATGAGAGAACTAACCTAGGAAAAGGGGTAGGCAAGCAAAGGATAAGAGAGAGTTAAAAGCACTACCATACTGCAACCTAGTTCTGTTACATACACCAACACAAGGACAGGATTGGCTGGGGAGGAGCTCATTTTTACTTGAATTCCAGCAAGTTGCAATCAATCTTGTAGTACACATATGGGTAATATTCCTGTTGACTCAGGTTTAAACCTGGAATATCCATAGGAGCCTATGGAAAAACAAGACAATTATTCAATCATGTACTTGACATAAGAAAAAAATATTATCATTTACCTTTTTATTAGATACCTACTCTGGGCTAAATGTATGCACATATGCTCATTTAATCTGAGATGGGCATTATCTCCATTTTTGCATATGAGGAAAGATCTGTGAAAGATTGACTTGTCCTAGGAAACACAGACAGTGAGTAGCAAAGCCAGATTCAAGCATTCTGACTCCAAAGCTACTGTGTTGCTACCACGATCCTACCATCCTTTTTTGGAGGCTTGGGATATTGAGTTTATGAGATACAAGGCTTATGAAATGTTGAATGAATATAAACCAAATATGGTTTTAAAGATAACACTTATTTAGATATGCATGTTAGATAACACTTATTAGATACACGTTACAAGAATGTACTGGTAGGAAATTATATATAAAATAGACCTCTTATTTTATGTGCAATTCCATAAAAATGTAGCAAGTCATTTCCTGCATTTTCTTCTATCAAGAAAAACTGATTTTTCATGGTTCTAACTAATGCTTGTGTGAGATACTATCACTCTAAAGACAAAAAAATTCAGCAAGATGTTTGAAATCAAGGCTGGGCATGGTGCCTCATGCCTGTAATCCTAACACTTTGGGAGGCCAAGGCAGCAGGATTACTTGAGCCCAGGAGTTCAAGACCAGCCTGAGCAACACAGCAAGACTCTGTCTCTATAAGAAAAAAATAAAAGCTAGCCAAGTATGTTGGCACATGGCGCATGCCTATAGTCCCAGGTATTTCGGAGGCTGAGGCAGGAGGGTCCCTTGAGCCTAGGTGTTTGAGGCTGCAGTGAGCTATGATGACAACACTGCACTCTAGCTCCAGCTAGACTCTATGTCAAAAAAAAAAAAATTGAAATATAAAATATAAAAGCACACTGCAATTTTAAACAGCAGCAATAAAAAACACATGTAGTCTGTTTATATCCTATTTTGCTTAAAAGAAGATATAAACATGTACCATTTTAGAAAAATCATAGCTCCTTTCAAAATGCTCATCCATTGACTCCATTACCTCTGCCAAATAAAATTAAAATAACTACTGTAAACAACTAGTATCACTGGTTGTTTCTGTGTATCTGCAGCTACAAACATCTGATATACAGCAGGAAAATGACTGGCTTTTAGAAATATCAAGAAGCAAAGCACAGCTATAATAGTGTAAACCAGGGTCAACAATGTAAATTACTTGCTACATTCCTCTAACAAACTGAGAACCTCAAAGTAATAAAAAAAAATGATTAAGTATTTTTACTATCCCTTTTCTATCTTCTTCTAATTGTTTTTTTCCTGAAATTCACTCTAATTCCTACTCTACCTGGCTATCTTATAAGTACTTACATCAATAATAGCTGCTGCACTGCTGTCTAGATGTTTATACAATTCATATAATACTTCTCTCAGTTTCTTCATTGTTTTCTTATTGGGCTGAAGGAGCATTGCTTGGAAGTTCACTGGCAAGCCATACCTGAGAAAGAAGCAGAAATACAGTATGCGACACAAGCAGGCACATAATGAGATTTGTTTTTAAAACAAGTATTTTTGAGGTGGGAGGACTGCTCAAGGTCAGGAGTTCAGAACCAGCCTGAGCAAGAGCAAGACCCATCTCCACTAAAAACAGAAAGAAATTAATTGACCAACTGAAAATATATAGAAAAATAAACTGGGCATGGTGGCACATGCCTGTAGTCCTAGCTACCTGGGAGGCTGAGGCAGGAGAGGATCGCTTGAGCCCAGGAGTTTGAGGTTGCTGTGAGCTAGGCTGACGCCACGGCACTCACTCTAGCCTGGGCAACAAAGCGAGACTCTGTCTCAAAAAAAAAAAACAAAAAACTTGTGTGTAGCTGTGCTAACTATTTCTTCAAATTTTCAATGTAGATGTGGGTAATCTCATGTTTATTATCATAAAAGTATCTACTAACTTTACATGTTATTATTTCCTGAGGCTATTCATAGATTACTTTAAAAATTGAATACTATTAATAATTAATGTAATTCCTCCTAATTGGCTCATTTTATTTTATTTTATTTATTTATTTATTTTTTTGAGACAGAGTCTCACTCTGTTGCCGGGACTAGAGTGCCGTGGCATCAGTTTAGCTCACGGCAACCTTAAACTCCTGGGCTCAAGCAATCCTTCTGCCTCAGCCTCCCGAGCAGCTGGGACTATAGTAGGCATGTGCCACCATGCCTGGCTAATTTTTTCTATATATTTTTAGTTGGCCAATTAATTTCTTTTCTATTTATAGTAGAGACGGGGTCTCGCTCTTGCTCAGGCTGGTTTTGAACTCCTGACCTTGAGCAATCCACCCGCCTCGGCCTCCCAAGAGCTAGGATTACAGGCGTGAGCCATCACGCCCGGCCTACACACAAGTTTTTAAAAACTATTTCTAATATACTTAGAATAACACATACAGAGGACCACAAGATGATTGAAATTGTAAGTATTTCAAAATATTAAGATAGTTTAGGTTAATATGAGATGATTTCAATAAGTATTAGTATATTGCATATCAAACTATTAATACATGTAAAATATTAGAAAGACCTTTCTTTCAATCAAACATTGGCTAATATTTTACAATCTACTTTTAACTTAAATCAC